ATTGAAGGCAGCAAAATAAAAATAAAATAGGAGGATCATTGGTTAGGAAGACTCTCTGGAGAAATTCATCTGGTCATTCCATCCAGGCCTCCTTCCCCAAGCAATACCACTTGGCAGTCATCAGGTAGACAGCTATGCTTCTGTGTCCTTGTATCACAGACCTGTGATGGAACTTTTTTAGATAAGGTCAAATTAAACTACAGTATGTGATCTCACTATATAGTTCAGGCTGTCCCTGAACTCACTATATAGCCCAGGCTGGCCTCAAACTTTCAGCGATTCTCTTGCCTCAGCTTCCAAGTGCTGGGATTACAGGCATGCGCCACCACATCCGGCTCAAAGATTTCATTTTGATGATTGTGCATTAAAGGACCCATAAGCATAGCCTCTAAATTTCACTGGCAAAAAGACAAAAAGAATGGAAAATAAAGTGAAGCAGTGTTTTATCATGTATTTTTCAGCAAGTCTTCTTGAAATTTAAGTAAAAATATGATACCTTCTTTAGACAGCTGCTCTTTTCAGTACTAGTTACATCAAACAAATCAGCCCCTGGATGCTACTTGTCTGTTTTTCTTGATCGTACTTGGGAAAATACTATTAAATATCCTCACACTAGGAATGAAGAAAAAACAGCTATCAAAACTTTATGAAATGGGGGCTGGAGATTTAGCCCAGTGGTACTGCCCGCGCCTGCCTCGCAAGCTCAAGGTCTTGAATTCCATCCACGGTACCAAAAAATAAAAATTTATGGAATGTTTTTGTGTTTCACTTGCATTTATTGATTTTTTATTTTTGGTAAACATTTCCATTATACCCTATTTCAGGGATTTTGTACTTTCAGGTTTAATAAATACCATATCTTGCCTCTTTGCTCAAATTATTTCCTTTACTTGTAGCTTTTTGCATTATCCAGTCTTCTCAATATCTTGTATAGATTATTTCCTGAATTTCTCTAAACTCACCAAGCTTTCATCTAAATGTCAGAAGTTTTATTTCTTTGCAATAATTTTGACTTGTATTTCAGTCCTTGCTGTTAGTCCATCTTTTAATTTTTAATCCTTTTATACTTTTAGCCAATTAATGCCATATTCAGTATCGTATTGGACATTTACATGAGGTTTTTCCTACCAAGCTGAGAGCTGAATAAAGTGCCAGTATAGAATATAATGGGTAAGCATTAGTGAAAGAAATTCAGCTGCCTAGCTTTTGAGCAATTTAGGTAATTGCATTAACTGTAGGCATTGGAGGATGACCTTATGGATGACCTTATTATGTTTAATCCCTATTATATACTTCACTCATATATGTATTCAGGGATAATGAAGGGGATTACAAAGGGCCATTCCAAAGATATTATTAGCTATCTCACCCATATATACTGTTTCACAAGAAAATTATGACCACAGCTCCTTAGTACATAGGTGGAGCATATAATTTAGACTTCTTTACACCTCATTTCTTTTGACCTTTAGTTGAGTCCAAAACCATTCAAATTTCTCCCAAATTATCTTTTACATGTTTTGGAAATAGCTCTGTATGTGCGTCCACACACATATTTCTTGTAATCACAAAGAAATTTATCCTATGGAAGAAGGATCAGAATATGCAGTACATCTTTAATTCCAGGGTTCTAGTTTTAGGTTTTCTACATAGTAGTTTATTCATAAGTAGCTTGGCACAAGAACTTCATTCAACAGAAATGATGTCACCAAACTTACGTGGCTGTTCTGGCTGGGGAATTTAATGCAGAAAAGATCTAACATAAAGAAAAGGGGAAAAAAAAGTAGCTAAGTAACTGTATTAACACTCTGTAATAAGATGACAAGTCGAGGTAACAGGTCCCAGATCCAAAAATAATTTGGTATGACCTTTAGGTTCTTGAACAATAAATTGTTTATTGCTTAAAGTAACCTATGAACAACCAAAACAACCTTAAAAAGGAATTTTAAAAGAATGTAAGAGAATGTTTTTACTGCCTCTATGAAAACATATGGTTGTTGTCAGTTGACTGTATGAGTGTGTACAACTAGAATCAAGATCTAGCTGAATCACTGCAAGATCAAGACATTTTCCATATTACAAGAATTGTAAAATTTTTCTTATTTTTCTATGAAACTTTCAGTAGCCAAACCTATGATGTAAATGTGTTTTCAAATTCTGTAAATGGTGTAACTGAGAAATAGCCATGTGTGAGTAGATACATTTGGTAAGATAGTTTTGAACTTTCACTGAACATAGGATTTTTTTCTATAGAAGTAATGTTTCAAATACTGCATATGTTAGCTGATTATGTTTGTGTACACCTGTAAATATGTTTATGTACACCTGTAAATCCAGCAACTGGGGAGGCTAAGGCAGGAGGATCTCCAGTTCAAGCCTACCTGGATAATATAAATGTAGCAAGACCCTCTGCCCCTCCCAAAAACAAACTCCAGAAACAGATACTGCATGTGTTCTTTTACCAGTCCACCTGAAACACGTTGATTCCATAGAATAAGTAGACCATAACACTAAAACTCATGGATGTAGTTTTATTGTTCTGCTTTTTTTTTTCAGTTTTGTAACATTATTTTGTTGATATTATGTATTCTCGCTTTAAGTAAATAATACTAGAAATATTTTTTTCTTGTCATTTCTCTTGGATCTTTTACAAGAAAGAAGGATCAAGGTCTGCAAAAAATACATTGGATCTGGAGTTGGTGTCTAATCATGGCAGAAAGGGTCGTATAGATGTCTTACCAGTTGGATCATTGGAAGTACAGTGGTACCTTGGTTCATGAACTTAATTCTTGAACGTTTCTGGTCACAAACCGAATTGGATGAGAACCTGGTCAAATTCAGTGGTTAGGTTCAGTATTTACCTTATGGGGAAATTTGATTTGGTTCTTATCCAGTTCGGTTTGTGACCAGAATCTTAGAAAGTATTAAGTTCTGAACTGAGGTACCACAGTAGATGACTGTTGGTGTAAATTTTCAAAGTTAAGGAACTCAAGAACTGTGTTTAAGAGGCTGCTAATTACCTAAAGGGAGAAAAATTAAAAGCTAATGTGTACTTAAAAAGTGGATGGTATTCATATTTTGCTGTAAGCTGTCTCAACCTAAAGAATTAACTTCTGGGAATTAGAAATATGTATGTAAAGAGGCTTCTGTTTTGACCTATGAGAGATGATGTAATAACCTTTCATCCCAAAGAGCAGGCTTCATTGCGCTAAAGAGGTGAATACTACCCTGTTCCTCATGGTGGTGGTGCTTTTCTGCAGTGTAACTCACTATGTGCTCAGATATCCATCCTGGGTCCTTTGTATCCTTTTTATGAGACTTGAGAGTCGAGGAGCCAGCACAAGCATGATTAGATACTCTTGCCTGCTGCTTTTTCTCTTTAAGTTGAGACGCAAATACATCAGGTATATTGGAAAAGATGACAGGTGGAAAAATTTGGACGAGTAAGAACGAGACTGACTCCACCATAGTTCATAATCATATATGGAATAATTCATAATCAAATATGGAAGACAACTATGAACAGATAATTTTAGGGAATTCTGAGAAAGGATGAAAGTAGAGGTAGGAGGGGTAATGATTGAATGATAATTGACTTGAGAATTAAAGCCAACTTCAATTTTCCAAATCATAACATCCTTGACTTTTATAATCTTAGAGGAAAATTGTTCAGTCTTTCACTATTGACTATGGTGCTATCTCAAGAGCCTTCATTACATGACTATTTCTTATTTAACTGAAGTATTTTCCTTCTGTTGGGTGGGTTTTTTTGGTCATGAAACAGTGTTAAATTTTGCCAGGTGATTTTTCAGTGTCATTAAAGTTAACTATTTTTTCCTTTATTCTGTTAATATGGTTTATTATGTCGATTTATTTTTATATGTTGAACCACACTTGTTCTACCAACTGCCTTCTGTAAGTAATTAGAATGAAGCCAAGTTCAGTTTATATGTTATCAGCTATATTAGCATTACAAACAAAAGACCATGTAATTTGCAAAACCTAAGATATTTGCTGTTTACTTTTTTTCTTCTTCTTTGGTGCTGGAGATTTAACCCAGGGCCTTGGGCATGCTGAGTACACTCTACCACTGAACTACATCTAGGGTTCCCTATTTATTTCTATTTATGTTTTGAAGTACTGAAGATTGAACCAAGGAATTTTTAAAGTTAAGTTTATTGGTACATTTTAAGGTATACATAATGATCATGTTCATCATAAGAAATTTGTACCTGCACATGATACATCTTGAGACCCAAGTAATTTTGAGCTACATTCTTATCTTACGTTCTCTTTTATTTTGAGAAAGGAGGATCTTGTTAAGTTGCCCAGGCTGGCCTTGAACTTGCAATCCCCTGCCTCAGCCTCCTGAGGAGCTGAGATTATAGGCGTGTGCTACCATGCCTTCCTCCTCTATTTACTTTTAAAAATGTTTTGCAATTTCTGCTTCTAAAATTATTAATCTAGAGTTCTTCAGTGTGTATGTAGGAGATTTGGATCAATCTTTGCTGATCAGAACTCTGTAAATTGCTTTTCATAATAAATAATGGCTTATGCTTTATCTTTTTAACACAGAGCTAAGTAGGCATTAGTTACATAATTTTAAGAGAAATGTTAATTATTTTATGTTTAAATTTTATTAGTACATGTATATAGTATATAATATTTACATATCTGGTGAGAAGTTGGTATATACACATAACATTTTAATATTGATTCCTTTTCTCATCCTCTTTCCTTTTCCTCTCTCCCTTGTTCACCCATCTCTTGATTCCCTTGCTTTTTTTTTTTTTTGTATGTTTGTGGTACATAATGTTTACATTCCTTATGTGGAATTAGTACATATACATAATATATCCCAGTTCCCTAGCTCTCCCTTCATCTCTTGATTGCCTTTCCCTTTGAGAAAAATATATCTCCGTACTTCCTATTATTTTTTATTTTACCCTTTATTTTTACTTTGAGTTTCTCATGTAAGAGAAAACGTGTGATATTTAAGCTTGTGTATCAAATTTATCACCCTTAATATTATGGTCTCAGGCTTCTTTGACCAGGGCTTGAGTGGTTGCTCTGGCCAGAAGGTTCTTTGGTAGAGGCACTCCTCCTGCTGCCCCACCCAGTAGGTGACTGAATTACTCAGATGTGAAGATCATCTTCTAGGTTTTGTATAAAAGGCCCTGGCTATTTCAAGTGGCCATTTTGGAATTACAGTGTTTTTGGATAATTTTGCCCCAGAAGTTTATTAAAATTGTCAAGAATCATCTCTGAAGTGAATTGATAGTGCTGTCAATTCAACAAGCTACTCTACTCAGTAAGAGACCCAGACATTTCATCAGTATTTTGCTTCAGACGGATTATGTAACTGGCTAATGTATTTCAGGTGGTGCCCCCCCCCCCGCCTCCTGTTGGTATTCTTCAGCCAAAACTGTAAGATATGATTGATTTGTGTACTGAGTAGTTTCAGCAGTTTCAAATTACAGTTTAAATAGTGCTGAAGTTTAATGGCAATTTATTTTCACCTTCATTAAAAGTTTTAGGGATTTTTCTGACCTTGATCCTTTTCATGTCTCAATGGAACAGCTTTTCTAAATGAAGACATTGAAAGAATACAGAGTATTTTTCTTTTCATCTTTTACTTAGGTGGAAATTGAAGATGTTGCAGTTTCCCACCAGTGTGGTAGTATTGAGATAGCTATTTGTATTTGCGTGCCAAAGTTTAAGACTGCTCTTCAGATGTGAAATTTTCTTTTTGTTTCTACTTTTTGGCTCATAACTTGGATGTTTCTTCTGGAGTAGGATAAGTACAACAGTGAAAAGTACATGGAATAATAAAAATAAAGACTTTGATCTTAAATCCAAGGAACTTGGCTAATTTTGGAGATAGCCATATGAAAACTTTAAAACAGAAATATGGGTAGCAGACTTGAAATAACTATGTCAAATAGTCATAGGTTAAGTATCTTCAAAGAACTTGGATATTTCAGAGGAAACAGTAAACAAACTAGAAAACATAAGGATTACAGAGAAAAAAATCAACACCTGGTACAGTCCTGTTGGAATTTGAACTTGACTTGGGGTGTTGAAGCCTTGTTTCACTGTGTCGGAGAGACTGGACCTAAATGGCACAGCATGACTTTTCTCTGGCCTGGCTTAATTTTCCTACTTCACCATCATCAACAAAATCATCACTGAATTTTGAGAAATATCCTGAAAATTTTTCATGGACAGAAAATCAATATGATGTGAACCGTTGACGACATAATTCTTCAGATGGCTTTGAATCTGGTATTGGGCGTCCTAATGGAGGTACCTTTGGAAGGAAAGAAAAAAATGGATGGTGTACACATGGTAGAAATGCTACCGAAAACATAAATCACCAAGGGGGATGCCATGGTGGAAATTCTCGTTCTTGTAGCAAGCAGTATTTTCCATTCTGAAAAAAGCCAAGGACTACGTGAAAACAACATACCTGACAATGAAACTGGGAGGAAAGAAAACGAAAGGAAGCAAAAACAGTTTGAGGCTGAGGACTTTCCATCTTTAAATCCTGAATATGAAAGAGAACCAAATCGGAATAAATCTTTAGCTGCAGGTGTATGGGGCCTACACACCCAGACACACATACCTAACCAAAATAATCTCCCAAGGTCCTCTCTTAGAATATCCTCCAAATCCTAATCTAGAGCTCCAAGAATGCTGGTCATTAAGAAAGGTAATACAAAAGATTTACAGCTATCTGGATTCCCAGTAGTAGGAAATCTTCAGTTGCAGTCAGTTAAGAATGGAACTGGTGGGCCAGGGATTTAGCTCAGTGGTTCCCGGCGCCTGCCTCGCAAGTGAAAGGTCCCGAGTTCGATCCCTGGTACCAAAAAAAAAAGAATGGAACTGGTCCAAGTGTTTATAAAGGCTTAGTCCCTAAGCCTGCTGCTCCACCTACAGAACCTATACAGTGTAAAAGCCAAACTAAAGAAAATAAAGCTGGAACTTCTTTCCCTCATGAGTCTGCATATAGTGTTGGCAACTTCAGTGCTTTTAAATCAGCTGCCAAGAATTTTAGTCCATCAACCAATTCAGTGAAAGAGTGTAATCATTCAAATTACTCTTTGCCTGTTGACAAACTTAATCAACAGCCTCGTCTAACCAAACTGACACAAATGCGCACTGCTAAGAAGTGTGAATTTTTGAAAGCATTGAAAAGGGACAGAGTAGAAGAACATGAAGATGAAAGCCATGCTGGCTCAGAGAAGGATGAAGACTCATTCAATTTGCATAACAGCAATAGTACTCATCAAGAAAGGGATATAAATAGAAACTTTGCTGAAAATGAGATTCCTCAAGAGAATGACAATGCCTCAGTAATTTCCCAACAGATAATTTGATCTTCAACCTTCCCACAAACTGATATTCTTTCCAGTTCACTTGAGGCAGAACACAGGTTGTTGAAGGAGATGGGCTGGCAGGAGGACAGTGAAAATGATGAAACATGTGCTCCCTCAACTGAGGATGAAATGAGAGAATTCCAAGTTATTAGTGAACAGTTACAGAAGAATGGTCTCAGAAAAAATGGTATTTTGAAAAATGGCCTGATCTGTGACTTCAAGTTTGGACCCTGGAAAAACAGCACTTTTAAACTCACAATTGAGAACGATGACACAGTGACAAGTAGCAGTGACACATCAGATGACGATGATGTGTGAAGGATTTCCTAACAGCTTTAGAAATTTTAGTGTGATACATCTCTCATGCAGTTTGGGGTGAATTGTAAAAATGAAGAACTATAATTTATGTAGCAAAATACCCCATTAGAAGATGATTTTGGGGGGACTTCAGTATGAAGAAAACCAAGAATCCAATTGGGTTGGGCTGTGTTGAACATTATTTCTTTCTAAATCAATGTTGTAGAAATGAGGACTTCGGTTGATCCAGCATTGTCTTTCTTCATCATTGCAGCATTTCTCTGACTAGCAATGTGACGATGTAACAAATGAGAGTTTCTCATTTAATAATAAAAAATTTTGTAATGTTTAAAAAAATATTATGATCTCAAGATGCATCCATTTTCCTACAAATGACTCAAGTGTATCATTCTTTATGGTTGAGTAGTACTCCATTTTGTATAAATACCACATTTTCTTAAATCATTCGCCTGTTGATGGACAGGTATGCTATATCCAGTATCTGGCTATTATGAATTGTGCTGCTATAAATATGGATATGCATATGTCCATGTAATATGATGACTTTAACTCTTGGGAAGATAGAAGGGGAGTAGCCGGGTCAAATGGAATGTCTGTTTTTATTTTTTTATTTTTTGGTACCGGGGATCGAACTCGGGTCCTTGTGCTTGTGCAGCAGGCGGCAAAACCACTGAGCTAAATTCCCGGCCCTGTTTTTAGTTTTTTGAGGAATCTCTACACTGATTTCCATAGTGGTTATACTAGTTTACATTCTTACCGACAAGGTAGAGAAGTTCCCTTTTTCCTCACATCCTTGCCAGCTTTTGTTATTATTTGATTTTTTGATGATAGCCATTTTTTTCTGGGGTAAGATCTCAATGTAGTTTTAATATTCATTTCTCTTACGAAATGCAGTGTTGAACATTTTTTAAATGTATTTATTAGCCTTTTTTTTCTTTCTGAGACAGGGCCTTGCCATGTAGTTGAGGCTGGTCTTGAACTCACTATGTAGCCCAGGCTGGCCTTGAACTTGCGGCTATCCTCCTGCCTCAGCTTTCCCAAGTGCTGGGATTATAGGCATGTGCCACCACACCAGGCTTTTATTAGCCATTTGTACTCCTGAGAAGTGTCTTCATTTCAGTTGCTCATTTTTTTGATTGGGTCTTTTATTTTTTGGGGGGAGGTCAAATACTTTTTGAGTTTTTTATATATTCCAGATATTAGGCCTCAGAAATCGCTGGCAAAATAATTCTCACATTCTGTAGGTTGTCTCTTTACTCTGTTTGTTATTTCTTTGGCTTTGAAGAAACTTAAAAAAAAATATGATATGATCCTATTTGTTGATTCTCAATATTATATCTTATGCCATTGGGGTCCTATTCACAAAATTTTTACCTATGTCCATGGTTTCAAGAGTTTTACCTATTTTATCTTCCAGCAGATTGTTTCTCTTTTAGTATTTGGACTGCTGGACTTAATGTGGACAGTTGTGTTGTCTCTTCGCTCCCTTCTCCTTAGGTTTTGTGAACATACAGGATCAGGTCAGTTAGTCTTTTCTGCTGCCTCATGCTGTGTTCCCCTGGGTCCTCTGGCAAGGGTTGGCTCTTGCATTTTGGGGTGGGGCATCATGTCTCAGGAGCAAATGGGCTGTCACGTGGGGATGCACTGTGGGTCATCTCTCATGTTGGATGGAGCACTGCCTCTAGTGGTCCCTAATATGGGGCCATGGTGCTCCTTTTCTGACTGAAGAGTGGCTCTGTGTAAGGGTGGAGTACTGCCTCAGATCAGCACTCTCTCCTGGGGTGAGAAATGTTACTTAAAATGATGCATTTGTTAATGTCTTTCTGATTCAACTTCATGCCTTGTTTGAATTATCATTGCTCTGTATTACTTATGGAATTCTTTTATTTTCTTTTCCATAGGTGTATGTGGAATTTGATGATCTTGAGTGGGATAAACGAGAGTGGGTTAAAGTTTATGAAGATTTTTCAACTTTCTTGGTGGAATATCACTTAATTTGGGCCAAAAGGAATGACCCTAGCCAGACTGAGGGATCAAAGAGCAAACAGATACAGTGGCCTGCGTTGGTAAGATCTGTTCTGAGTCATTAAACATTTTTAGTTACTGGTTTTAAAATAAGACTAGAATATAAATTAAGATTTATCTAACTATAGATTAATATTCCTGAAGAATCTGCGTACCAGGCACAAGTTTCAAAATACTGCATTGCTTTGTTAAACAACCCCATGTACCTCTTTGTTAGTGTACTTTCAGCATATTTAGTAAAAAAGTAGTTTATTCTGTCCATTTAAATGAAACAAATTGGATTTAAAGATGCTGAGAGGTAACTGACTTTTTGTATACGGTGTGGAAAAACTTTAGTGAAACTTTGTTAAAGTGGAAGATGGAGGAAACATTTTTGAAGCATTATATATAGCACATGATTTTTCTTGATTGGTTAGTGATTTATTGTAGGTGATAGATGTTAAATGTGTGTATGTTCAGGAGATGAGTAAAATTACTTCAGAGTTTTGTAAAAGAAACAATAAGATTACTAAATTACATTATATCGTGTAATGACAGACTGTCTAGCAGGTAATGAATAGGCAGTAAGTTTGATGAAATTACATTAATATGAAATAAATACTTTGAAATCCATTGAAACAGGCTGGGGATGTAGCTCAGTGGCACCGTGCCTGCCTGGAAAGTGCAAGGTCCTGAGTTCGATTTTGGGTAAACCCACCCCCCTAATCCATCGAAGTGTTTGGTGAAAATAATGTGTCAGCCTAGGGTTTGTTTGTTTGTTTGTTTGTTTTTGGTGGTGGTGGTCAGGATTGAATTTTGGCCCTGTGTGCGCTAGGTAAATTAGTTATATCCCAAGCCTGAAGTTTAATGCTTTTACATACAAAGGATGGTTTCTACTTGGTAATAACTATAATGTACATAAATTTTTTGTTTATTTAACCCTTTAATCCTTTTCTGTATTGAGAAAATGCCTACTTTTTTGACTATTCTGTTTTTTAAGAAAATCAAAAGAGATGTGATTTAGAAGATAATACAAGGACTGTCTGTAGGTACATGTCAGTGGTAGCATGCTAATCTAGCATACTGGAGTCCCTAGGTTTGATTCTCAGAACACATAAAATTGATTTAAAAAGATCAGACAAGGAGGAAGGGGAAAAAAAAGTAAACTTAATTAGTAGCATGTTTAAGGAAAATATTTTGAAATGTTGAAAATGATATTTAGAAAGCATACTTTGGTAGGAAACTTTGATTAAAAAAAGAAGATAATTTACCCATAGTAGTTTTAAAAGTAAAAATTGTGGAATGAATATTTTGCATTCTTAATGTAAAATTTAGAAAAACTTAAATCATGATTAACATAGTTTGATCTTTGGGACCGTAACATGAAAACTGATTAAAACTTCTGAGTGTTTTTGATAGATCTAAATTTTTGTGTGAAGAGTCTCAAAAGTAGTAAATAGTGGTACCAGTAATATGAAAATGTGTACTTTCAACATCAGAGTTAAAGAATAAATAAAACTTTAGGAATTCTTAACCTTTTCTTAGAGGTAATTTATATCAATGAGTTTCTTATTTTTAAGTAAAATTTTTGGTAGGAAATACTGTGTAATAATTTTTATTATAATTTCACAACATTGGGCCGGGGATTTAGCTCAGTGGTTTCACCACCTGCTGCACAAGTGCAAGGACCCAAGTTCGATCCCTGGTACCAAAAAGTAATAATAATAATAATTTCATAACATTGTTTCTATTGAAAAAACCTCTTAATGTCAAAATTAAGGCTACTAAAAAAAATGTAGACTGTGGGTATAGCTCAATGGTAGAGCAATTTCCTAGCATACTTGGGGACCTTGGGTTCAGTCGCCAGTACCACAAAGAAAAAAATAAAGAGAGAGACTTCTTAAATAATTGACTTTTTATTCAGCTCACTTTCTTTTATTATGCAAAAATCGTGTGTGTGTGTGTGTGTGTGTGTGTGTGTGTGTGTGTGTGCGCGCGCACGCGCGCGCAAGAAAAGATCGGGAAATGCTAAGTTGGTATAAAGTAGAAAAACAGCATGATTTTAATCTCATCACCAAAGAGATAAGCACCTTCATTCTTTGATACTTCTCTCTGCCATAACTTCAGTTTTTTTGAGAAACGATCTCACTATGTAGTTCAGACTGGCCTTGAACTCATTCTATCCCATGCTGGCCTCAAACTCTTGAAAATCCTACCTCAGCTTCCCAATGCTAGGATTACAGCCGAGCACCACCAGGTCGAGCTTTTCTACTGTAGCATTTAAAAATGTCTTTAAGTGTAGCAAAATATGCTTAAAATTTGCTATATTAACCATTATTAAGTGTACAATAAAGTGGCAGCAAATGTGTTCTTGTACAACCATTGAACTTCTTTTGTCATACAGAACTGAAACTGTACTCATTAAATAGCAAATATTTCCCATTCCCCTTTATCCCTGGCATCCACCATCTACAATTCTGTCTTTATTAATTTAACTACTTTAAGTCAGTTTTGCATTATTTGTCCTTTCATAACTGGCTTGTTTCAGTTAGCACAATGTCTTCAAGGTTCATCCATAGAATTTGTTCACCATAGAATTTGTTAGAATTTACTTGTTTCTTAAGGTTAGTATTCCATTGTATGCATATATCACATTTTACTTAGCCATTTGTGTATTGATAAGACACTTGGGTTGCTTCTATCTCTTGGCTATTACAAATAATGCAGCTCTGAACATGAATGGACAAAGCCCCTGCTTTAAATTTTCTTGTGTATATACCTAGAAGTGGAGTTGCTGGATCATGTAGTAATTCTGTTTTTAATGTTTTGAAGTACTCCCATACTATACCATTTTATAGTATACTATACCATTTTATAGTATACTATTCCCACGAGCAATGTACAAGGGTCCTAGGTTCTCTACATCTTCACTAGCACTTATTTTCTGAGGTGGGGGAGAGGGGTGTTTGGTTTTTAGTATATGGTATCTTCTTTGGTTTCTGTAGGGATTTTGAAAATTGAGCCTTTAATTAAAACCTCCATTCATGTGCTTATTGACCATATATATGTATATGGAGAAATGTTGGTCTTCCAGTTCTGTGACTATTTTGAATTGGCAAAATTTGAACTGCTTGGTTTTTTTGTTGTTGTTGTTGAGTTTTTAGTTGTTTTTATATTTTGGGTATTAATCTCCTATCAGATAAGTGATTTGCAATTACTTTCTCTCATTTTACCTGTTGCCTTTTTACTGTGTTAATAGTGTGCTTTGAAACACAAAAGTTTTTAATTTTGAGGAACCCCAACTTTTATCTTTTTTATAGTTACC